AACTAAGCCCAGCCCTCGCTCCCTCCACTGCTGCTGGAAGCCTGTTTCAGAGCCGTGCTGCTCAGGTGGCTGGAAAACATCTTCTAATTTCCTGACTGTGTTTATTAGTGACCAGTTTATATCCATTTGTTCTTGTGCCAAACCTGCCTTTTGCTTTAATAGCTCTTTTCCCTCCTTCGTATTTACTTCCCTGATGTATTTATAGACAGCAATCATGTTCCCTTCATTTTGCTAGGCTTAACAAGCCAATCTCTTTTAGTTCTCGCTCATAAAACAGGTTTTCCAGGTCCTGATTATGCTCCATTCTAGCTGCTTTTCTCTGCACCTGTTCCTGTTTGAGTTCATCTGTTCTGATGAAGTCAAAACAGCCTAAAATCACTGAAATACCCCACTGACTGAAGGACTGGGTTTGATTATTTTTCTAGCCAGAAGCATTTTAATAGACCTTGATATTATTTTGTAAGGCCTGTGAACAAAGGCTATGTATTTCTTGGGTATAAGGAAGAAGTTTGGATATAAGGAGGAAGTTCTTTACTGTGAGGGTGGTTAGGCACTGGAATGCACTGCCCAGGGAAGTTGTGAATGCTCCATCCCTGGCAGTGTTCAAGGCCAGGCTGGACAGAGCCTTGGGCGATATGGTTTAGTGTGATGGCAGGCAGGTTGGAACTGGATGATCTTAAGGTCCTTTCCAACCCTAACTATTCTATGATTTTTTTCAATCCAGGTGTAATCTAATTAGTACTTGAAGGACCACGATACTTAATAAAATGGTTGCTCTGACTACCCAGGAGATATGGGGCCATGATTGGCATGAAGCAGATGCTTGCTCTGCCTGCAACTCTGCCCATTCAGTGCTGGGGGAGAACCTACTTGTTTAACTCCACCAGTTAACCTTTATTTTTTAAGGTTTGCCATATCATCCATCAAACTGGGATTGATTTCTTTTCACAGGTGCAAATGAGCCATCATATGTTTGCCAGCTTGGAAAACAGTTAGAAAATTAGGGGCTAGAATTGGGAGAGACAGAAGAAATCACAGGTAGCCTCACAGCCGTTGCTGGGATGCAGCTATCCTGCAAGAAGCAGAGATGAGTTTTCTTCCATCACAGGTTTTGTGCTGGTTTCTGAGATCCTTGTCAGCAAACGTCAGCAGCTCTAAAGCTGAGCCCATTCCATAATGAAACAGTTATCCCAGCCTTAAAGGCAGGATTAGCTACCCGAAGTGGAGCAGAGAGCCCCTCTGCACTTTTTAACACCTCATGAAGAGATCTGGCTGCCAACAAAAGGAAAATCCTAATGTGTAAAAAATGCATAATAATAAGGACTTTGGCTGAGTGGAATTCCATCACGGATCAGATGAAATTGCCTTGTGCAACTTGCTGAGGGCTTCAAGCTATGCTAAATGACCTTTGTACCATGTAAAATGGGCACTGCTGCAGGATGCAGGGAGAACCAGGGGCTGGGCTGCTCTTTTCTTTCCCCCCCCATGGAGTTCCAGCTTGTCAAGAATACAACAAAAAACAGAGGGAGAAAGAAGGGGAAGAAATGTCCCATTGAATTTTGTCAGAGGAGAAAGAACATCTGTGTTCACATCTGTGAAGGGTCCAGGGGGATACACAGCAAAAGTAGGATGCTACTGCCTGGTCCTGGGTAGCCAAGGATATGTGCAATGCCCCATGCAAGGGGTAAAATCCAACCTGTGCTGCAATATTTAAGGCTACAGCTGAAAGCCACCTTGCCTTTGCCCTCTTTTCTTGCCTGAGGCTGCCCACTTTACACTTATGAAGGAGCAGTGATTCTCAGAGGCTTTGGGGCTGAGGTTTCCGTGGGTGCACTCAAAAAATTACGCCCTTGCTGCCTCCAAATGATGATAAATCCATGAGTGCACTACTTGGTGGTGTGTCCAAGAAGGGCTGTTGGGTGAGCAGGCAGAGTCATGTCCCTGTCCACATGGGACTGATCATGACCCAAGGCTGTTCATGAGTGTCTGCACAATCTGGGAGGAGCTTTCTTCTTTTTTCCTATGGTTTCCTCACTTGCCTTACAGGCACCTGAGCTGACAAGAGCTATAAAGGCAGGCAAGGACATAAGAACTGGTCCTCCTGGAGGTGTTAAACACTTCCAGGGTAAGAATTATCTTGGATCACACACTCTGGGCTTCCCTTGGCATCAGATTTGGGACCAGGAATCAGTCTTCCCTGGCTCAGCCTGGCAGGAGCTGCTGGGCTCTTTCCTTCTCTTTGCAGTAAGGGCTGTGACCCTCTTTGTAGAGTCAATGGGGAATTTTACTTGACCATTTCTTTCCCACGTCATGACAGAAGATGCCCTTAAGATTTCCTGCATCTTACAATACAGTTTTGAGTCTTTGACATAAAGTATTAAGTTTGTTATACATAGCAGGGCAACATTTTTTTCTGATGGAGGTGAACACATGTGGAAGAGCTATTGAGTGGTGGCTTTGGGACTGGACATGAGCTGCCTGTGATAGAGGAGGACTGAGCTCAGCATCAACGTGCTTACTATCAGTTCTGCCTCCATCCTGCTTTCTCCACGAAGAACTGGGACCAATGTGCTAGGAGCTGTACAAACACAATTCAAAAGCTTATACCTGCCTACCCAGAAGTATTGCACAGAATGTCCCTAACAAGTCAACAGCACGGGGTTCTTCCCTAATAAGAGAAAAAGAAAAAAAAGGCAATGGACACCCAAAATTGATGAGAAGAATCCAAGGTATCTCTAGAGACATATTGTACATGTCTACAGAAGCAGGATATGGTCATGTGTTATCATACACCCAGTGGCTTTGTATTGGATCTGGATGTGCCTCAAGTTTCAAACTTCCCAAGAGCTCACCATTCATACCACAGTCAGATTTCAAAATAGGTGGTTTTCACCAGAGATCGCCATGTTAGCATCCCCTAAAAGTTTATCCAGGGGGGTGAGAAAGGGTTTTGAAAGAAATAAGCCAACTGCAGGCACAGAACACCCAAAAATCAGTCCTTGAGTTGCTGTCAAGACTTGTATTTATGATCTTGCCTTCGTCTCCCACATAATCCCATACTGCCCCACACATACACACCCATGTATCCCGAAGGGTGAACAAGCCTGAACAGGCAGAGATGAGTATCTGCTCAATGGCATTAGATAACTAAATTGCTTCAGTCTGCTGACGGCTCTCCATGCTGCCTTGCAGGTCTTTCAATAAGGATGCCCCAAATAGAGACACAAAGCCCACAGAGCACATGGTATTCCTGAAGGTCAAATGGCACAAGGAAAACAGAACCAGAGAGGAGAAACGGAGCTGAAGTCCTGCCTTCTTTTTCTACCCACTCCAGTGCCCTTTTGCATGACTTGAAGCTGTTTATTCACTCTACCTCCAAATCTTGTTTCACCTATCTGTGGAATTCATGCCGACCTGCCAGGAATTTCTCATGAGTTAATTTGGTCTGGGAGCATTGGAAGAGCTGCTACTGAAAAGCAAAGGGGATTTTTTTTATATATATAATTATTATTATTTTGTTTGGGTTTTTTTTAATATTTTTGTTATTATTATTGTTAAACATTTTTCCTCCCCCTCCTTCTCCCTTCGCCCACTGCTCATGGCCAGAAGGTAACTGCACCTTCTGAAAGCATTACAGAGCGAGTGCTTCCACATATCTCCCTTGAACTTTTCTCCTGAAGGGCTGGTATCATGCTGTCAGAGACCTGATCCATCTGGAGATAACAGGAGCAATTTATCCTTTGTGGCAGCTCATCTTCTTGCCCAGACGCCCTCAGTGCTGAAGCAGGGTGGAGGACAAGCAGGAGAAATTTCCCTTGATGCCTCTTTTTCTGGTGGTAGCAGCAACATTTGACTCTGATGATGTCCAGTTCCTCTTCCCTAGCTGAGATGGCCACTGAACAGCCACAGAGAGCACGAGCATTGGCCTTGCAGCTCTTCCTCCCATGCTAGCATCCCTTTTGGATGGGTTTTGGTTTGATGCAGAGTTGGATTTCTGGGCAAAGACTAAGGGGGATGGAGGCCCCCTCTGTCCCGTCAGTATGGTGGGTGCCTTACTCAATATACACCAGGGCAGCAGAGCAAGGTCTCTCCAGCTCCCAGGTTTTGAACAGCCCTTAGACCTCTTAGAAAGGACCATTCCCCAGGGACATTCGTGGGCATGCAGCCCTGTTATGCATTGTCGTGCCAGCACACTGCAAGTATCACACTGTGCCCACAGAACAGAGTTAATGGTGCTCTTCCAGACCGCAGGACTCCATGGGCATAGCACGTTTATCCACAGGCACATTGCAGGGCAATGCTCCACGGTGCCTTCCCCCCATACCGACCAGTCTCCCCACAGCAACCCCTTTCTTCTTCAGTTCAAAGTGCTCTGGCACTTCATCTGGAAAATTCTTTAAATCTACATTACCTCTGCCTTATTTAATCTTTTCAGGAGCGCTGACATCCAGTGCATGAAAAAGAGATTTTAGGCTGAAAGAAAAGCTGCTCCTGATGGCTTCTTGGGGCTAAGATACAAACTGAATTGGAAACTGAAAGGTGAAAAGAATATGTTACCTTTTAAGTGTCACATTCTCCTCTGCAAAAATGCCTTTTAACTGAGCTGTTACAGAAGGAGTAGAAATAGTATCAAGCCACAGCCTTAGATTTTGCATTGTGTTTTGAATGCTCCTAAGCAGGTGCCTTTGGTGTCTGTCTTTGTTCTTGCACAAATGGGGGCCACTGGGCACATACTTGGAATTTGGGAATCCCTCAGACTGGGGAAGTTTTATGTCTCTGTGAGGAAGCACTGAACTGCAAGTGCCCAGTGCTTACAACACCTCACAGCACAAACCAGATTCACCCTCAGCATCAGCAGCATTACAACAGCCCTGGGCACACTGCAAATATCAGAAAGAGAAGCAAAGAGGAACTTGTAGGCAACACCAAAGCAGCTGAATATCATAATTCTCTGTGTATTATACTAGTAACTGCAAACCACAATGGCCCTTGGAGCTTACCTGGTTTTAGCTTGAGGTGTTGCAGACTTTGCGCATCTGAGTTGAAGGATGTGCAGCAACTTATTGTACAACATTCTCTCCATGCTGCAGGACCCAGGGCAGACAAAGCACTCACATGATCCTGGCTGGATCCCCATCAGCAGAGCTATTTTAGGACACAATCAGCAGGACATAGCCTTAGGACACCATGTCTCCAGGAGGCACAGCTGCCTCCAGCTAATTACTGACCAAAACCATAGCCCCAAAGTGCCTTCCTGCATCAAAACATCTATTTACCTATGGTGGAAAAGTATCATCAGCTGCCTCTCTGCCATTCCCAACCAAACTGTTCATCCACTTGTCCTGGTGGATGTAGGATTTATAGGTGATAGAGAGATGTGCTGGGACAGGACAGAGAGATGCAGGGTCTTGCAGTTCAGGTCAAAAGCAGATGGAGGGAGAGGAAAGGTTGGCTGGAAGCACCTCTCCAGGGCTGTTTCTTCCCTGTGTATCTTCCAAATGCCATCATCTTCAACCTCTGCACCTATGTAATGGCTGTCTCCTGGGACCCTTACATGGGCCACCCTGTGCTGACAAACTTCTGCATCTGTCCTCATTCCCTTTTTTCCCCCCAGGACACTGACCTGGGCTGAGACCCATCATTTCTGACAGAACCCAACTTCAGTAGGAGTTTTGCCCAGTTAAGAAAAAGAAAGCCATATTTTCCCTTTAGAAAAGATGATCACTGTTGTTTGTGAGCAAACAGACTGTAGGACACTTGTAAGGGCAGTGTAACAGAAAAAAATGCTCTTTATATATCAGACAGGCTGAGAAATGCTGATTAAAATGTCTCCTGTTATGATCAAACGGCAAATATAAGGAAATATTTTCTTATTGTTAAGGAGCTTTCACAGCAGCCTTGACCAGAAACCTTTTGATATTGTACAGTATCCAGTAATATGAGTGCTCTTTACAGAAACAGGCACAAGCCTTTCTTGCAGGAGATCTTAGCTCAGTCCTTCCCTCTGACAATGACTTGATTTAAGAGGTACCACTGTGGTTCAATTCAGTTGTTTATGCATGGGCATCTGATGCCATTGGACATGGCCTTCAGTGTCCCTCCAGCATCCATGCGGACACAGGTAGCCCAAACCCTTCTGTCTGATGGTGTTTGAGATACTCCCAATCTTGTCCAGAGGCAATGGATAACCAGATCAAATGCAGTCAGATTAAACTCTTAACCCCCCCGTACATCAAGTTGCAGTCTACAAAACTTGAAGCACCTTTTCCTCCTTGTTTTATAGAACTCCCTGCAAGATCTGCAGATGGGATCTACAGCAGGGCTCTCTTAAGCAGGTACCATTCTGTCCTTCTGTAATACACATACCCAAAGCATCTTAAAGGATAGCTCTTTCCTGTTGCGCTGATTAAAGGTTTATTGGTCTCTCTTGGGAGACTGGTGCACTCCCCATGTGTGTGCCTCCTCTGCATGCTGTGAGCCCACTGAGTATCAAAACAAAATACAAACAATCAGGAGCAAATTGCTTTTTATTTATGCAACAAAGCTAATAGGCATGGAGTGCAGAGGCAGAGGAAGCTCCATCTCCAGCAGCTGAAGACCTCCCAGTGAGCATCAGGTGGAGCCTGGCCTGCCCTCAGCTCCTTGAGGCTTCACCCCCATCCAGCAGTCCCAGGTAAAGTGCCTGAATCCAGTTAGCAGAAGGAAAAAGGGAGAAGCACCGCTTCTGTTTACACCAGAGTGCTGTGGCTTACACCCTATTAGCTTATGAGTTACAACAAGTGATGGATGTATGGGTGAAAACTCAGGAGCAAATACCCCTCCTGAGCAGATCCAGATGACCAGGAGCTAGAAATGCATCTGGTACCAAACCATCATGGCTTGGCTATAGCTGGGAGCAGGGACATAAGGGAGGGCTGCATGTGAGCAGCTCCATCAGAGCAGCCCCAGGACAAGCTCTGGTGCAGACAGCTCTGACTCACTGGTCCTCCCAGCCTCATCCTGGAGAGCAAGTCCGCACCAGCCCCAGAATGATTCCCCCACAGCAGCTGTGTGGGGATGTAAGCAAGGGGAGCTGGGACTCCTGCTGCTTACCATGCTTTTCATCTTAACGCTTGCATAGGGAGGATAAGTACAGGAAGTCCTGCTTACTTCTGGACAGGGTGCTGGGTGGTGGCAGATCAAGGCCAAGAGATTGGCAGCACAAAAGATGGGGGCAAAGTAGGGAGGTGAACATTGATCCCTTGGGGCAATTTGCCCCCCTGCCAGGACACGTTCCTTCTCCTCTGTAGGAAAGCACTCCAACCACATACCTATTTCTCCAGTGTTTATGCACACCTGAGTTTGCCGTCGCCTCTCATCACCATCAGTGCCTACCTCTCCGAGGGCACCCCAAAAGTGCAGTTCATACCTGGAGCCCTGGGGATGAGCTTGGCTCTGACACCGGGCAGACAGGTGAATGCTGCTGGTACCGCAGCTCCGCGGGGGGGAATGACTCCCTGATTTATCTCCAGCCAAATCCTCCCTGATGTAAATCGTAGAAGCTGTCTTGGCAGGGAGCCCCATCCCCTTATATAAGCTGAAATATTGCCCTTTGAGATTTATCCATCACTGCCAGACCGCTGAGCTGTTTGTCTCCAGCAAGGGCCCCAGAAGAGGAGGGGACGGTTGTGTTCGTACCATTTTTGTCTGTGCTAGGTAAATATTATTGCGTATTTTCCCCTGCGTCAGAGGGCCCAGCGCTGCTTGGACAGAGATACCTCTGCTCTGTTATGCTGAGACACTGGCTCAAATACTAGGGATTTAATTTGACCCTGTAAACATCTTTCACAGCTAAATGTTAGATTGTGAGCAGCAGGGGGGTAGAACATCTTTTGGGAGGTTGAAATTTATACACACACACAGAGAAAAAGATTTCTTAAGAAAAATTGAAAGCAGCAAATCACTGTGCATCTGGGAAATGGGCTTTCAGTCAGCTGTAATCCCGTACCCCTTCATGCTTCCTCTCCGCCTTTCCACCCACAGAGATACGCACATGCACACCAACACCTTTGAAACCCTCTACTGCCAAGCAGATGCCCAGCTCATGCTCTGCCCTGCACAACCAGCATCCCTCCAGTCATTTGTACCCCTGTTTGCTGGAGGGATCTGATCCCCATCCCCATGCTCCCACAGTGATTAGATTGCACTGTTGATCCAGGTGTGTTTGGAAATCTATGTGTTTAAATGTTGGTGAGATGACAAGCCTGGCACAGGAAGGCAGCTATTCCCTCTGCAGAGCTCTGAGAAGGCCAAGGGTCTGGCTAATAGACCAGAAGGGGCTGATGAAGTCTGCTGAGTTTTGAAGGGCTCATTACATAGCTGCAAGATTGCAGAAGACAGCAGAACTGGTGCCCAAGCAGTGTAAACCCAGAGATGACGACAGGTAACCTGAAATTATCAGCTGAGACATCGCTTTCCTTTCATTTGAACTGCCACTTGAACTTGAAGATTAAAGTGTTTCCTTGCACTGAAGTTTAGCAAGTGCCCCGTGTCTGTTATCATTCCTGAATCCACTCTCAGGCACGGGTATGACAGGAGCTGTTGTAGAGAGGCTCTAGGGTGGGATCTTATGGCAGAGTTGGGTCAAGTCTTCCTAACTCGGTGACAATACACATCCCCAAGTAGTAGCATCCACTGAGAACTGTTGTCCTGGAGGAGACATCTCTTCTCATTCTGTCCTTGACCTTCCAGTCTCTTCTGGAAAGATCCATTTTGGCTCATCCTGCCTAACCCAATGCATTGAGCTTGGCTCCACTGCTGTTCCCTCAGTACTGAGGCAAACGCTGCCTCTCCAAGGGGAACTCAGCTCGAATGTGCTTTTCTCTGACTGCAAGGGTGGTGGGGGAGCAAATCACTGTCTGTCACAGCATGAATCCCTATCCCATTCCCTATGCTTCCTCTATTTGACACCTCTTATTTCAGTCCTCTTTGCCACCTGGCTTGAGGGAAGAGCCTCACCTGAACCCAAAACCAAAGCAAAACTGGGGTTCAAAGTGAGAGATCCTGCACTAGGTAAACCCCAATTTACAGTAAGGCAGCCCCCCATCCCCTTCAGCATGTTTCTCAAGGGCTGGGGACCATTGTTAGAGAACAATGCAGCATTTTTATAAAAGAGGAGAGCACAGTTAATAAGTTCACTAACTGAGAAAAACACAGCCTTTTAATATCTCTCTTTGTGACTCATAGTGTGAGAGGCAGCTGTTACTACTGGAGTGAAATTCCTTGTTGATTAGTCTTTTAAAGGGCTTCCCAGATAATTAAATAATGATTTCTCTCCCCATTCATTCTAAGTGACAGGAGAGCCTGGCAAACCCACTAAGCATGGAAGGGCAGCATGTTTTCCCAAGCCTTATAGGAGCTTAGCTATTCTGTGGCTAATCCGGTGCTCAAACCCAGCCGCAGATCCCTGCATCAAGGGACAGGCTGTCCCAGTCCACGATGCTCCAGGGGTGACTTGGGTTTTGCTGCCTGAAACATAGAAACAAGGCTTTAGGCCAGGGTTTTGAAATATGACAGGAAGGATGGCCTTACCTGAGTGAACAAATAAAGGTTTTTTCCTGAGCTTCCAAAGAAACTAAGTTTGTCCTGAGGTCTGCATGAGCTGAGCAACACCAATTAATGACTCTGTCTTTCCTGGGCTGTGTTCAGGGCCACAGCTAGAAAGGACAAGGGATATGGGGCCATTTGGGGGTATTTCTGGGATAATCTGGTCTTCAGCACATCTGATGTTTCCACCACATTTCCAAGTCATGGTATGATTCACAATGATTTGTTCAGGCAAGCGTTTCAACCATATTATTTTGTGGCCTCTCTAGGTACATCTCTGTGGTCTGATGGAGTTATTCTCTATTATTTCCACCAAAGCATAAAAGGTAAAGGACAACCTGTGTATTCACTAGGTGCAACACTGTGGTATAGCCAATGAATGCAGGATTCCGGAGCAGAGTAACCGCATCCCCACTTAGTTTCACTTGTTTGCCTTTTAGATAGGCTTCTTATCTCATACCTTACTAAATCAGCAGGAAATTTCAGGACTCAATAACCTGAAAAAAAA